ATGTTCTCTCCTGTTTTAACAGCTACTATTTTAAAGTCAACTCTTCCACTTGTGCACTGAAGCTCATTGCATCTTGCTCCCTAAAGGACTTCACTCGATGTATCCTTTCTCCTTTCTGGATCATCAATTTTCCCCTCTTTACTGGTTCAATCTCAATAGCATTCAAACATACTGTAATAGGTCTTGTATAAAAAAAGTCTTCAACTTCACATTCCCTTCTGGTAACTACCCCAATTTTCTCATTATAACGAAACGCCTCAAATGCTCAAATTTGCTGTTCTCTAATTGCTTACTTCCTATTCTCATGTTAACCCCCTCAACTCAGATTTTAGTTCCACCAGTCTACCAAACTGCTTTTAAGATTGCCATTGACTTCTTCACTGCCAAATCCAAAGGTTAATTCTCAGCCTTCATCTTATTCAATCTCTCAGGAGACATAGTTGATCATCTTCTCATTCTGAAACACTTTTCATTTGGCTTCCAGTATACTATACTCTGTTGTTTATCTTCCTACCTCACATGCTGCCTACCTCACACATGGATCCTCATCTTTCTGATTTCTAAAAGTTGGAGTTTCTAAGGGCTCAGTCCTTGGAACTCTTCTTTATCGTATACTCTTCTAGGCCACAGCATCCATTCTCATGATTTTAAATACACACTGTAGACTCCCAAAAGTGTATCTCTAGAGTGGACCTCTCCCTCATAATCCAGACTTGCATATCCAACAGCCTACTTGATATCTCCACTTGGATGTCTAAGGCATCTAAAACAACACTTTGCCCAGATAGTTACAGTTAAAAACACAATGAAAATGTTGGCAAAGACGTAGAGCATTGGAAACTCTCAAATATGGGTAATGGTAGTGTAAATTGTTACAATTCTTTGCCAAACCATTAAGTAATGTCTACTAAACTTGAATATATATATGCCCTATGACACAACAATTTCACTCCTAGGTACATACCCAATAGACATGGTTGCACATGCGCACCAAAAGACATGAACAAGAATGTTCTCAGTGGCATTATTCATAATTGCCTCAAAATGGAAACAATCCAAATGATCTACCTGCAGTAGAATAGATAAATAGAGCTACATTCACAGCTACTTGCAACAATACGGATTAACCTCACAAACACAATCTGAGTAAGAAAAGCTAGACACAAAAGCATATTATATGATCAAAGATTGAAAACAGGCAAAACTAATTTATGGCTTTAGAATTTAGGATAGTGGTTACCTTTGGGGAAGAAGAAAGAGGTTCTGATTGGAAGGGAGAATAAGAGGGGTTACTGGGATGCTGGTAATGCTCCATGTCTTGACCTGGATGATAGTTATACAGATGTGTTCACTTTGTACACTTATATTTTGTGTTCTTTCCTGTGTTCAATAAGTTCCAAAACTGAATTCTGATTCCTCATCCCCTCTGTGAACCTGCTCCTTCTTTAGTATTCTCCACCTCAGTACATGGCAGCTCCTTTCTTCAAGTTGCTCAAGCCAAGGCTCCTAGAGCCATTCTGTTTTCTCCTTCTCTCACACTTTCATGTCTAAACTATCAGCAAAACTCATCTGCCATGTTTTCAAAATATGGCCTCAATCCAACTACTTCCTACCACTTATCACTAATACCTTTGTCTAAGTCACTCTTAGCTCCTATCTGGACTATTGAAGCAGCGTTCTAACTAGACTCCTGCTTGCACTCTTGACCCCCTACAATCTCTTCTCTATACTGCAGCAAGTGACCCTTTTAAAACGTGGTTAAAATCATGTCACTCCCCTGCTCAACATCCTCTACTGACTTACTATATCATTTGGAATAAAATGCCAAATCCTTAACATTTCCAGCTGTCTCTCTGACATCATCCCCTCCCACACACTACACTCCAGCCAGGGTTCCTAAAACTGCCAAAGATGCTGCTATCTCAGGACCTTTGTGATCACTAATCCCTCTGCCTGGAACATTCTTCTCCCAGATATCTGCCTAGTTCATTCCTTCACTTCCTCCACTCTGCTCCAATGATACATTAGAAAGGCATTTCCCAACCATCCTACCTATAATAGCACCACATCCCCTGGTGGGGATTTCTCACAAGCCCTTCATGCTGCTTCATTGTTATTTATAACCCTTATCACTACTTGGCATTTTACACATTTATATTTTTTTTGTGAGGAAGATCAGCCCTGAGCTAACATCCATGCCAATCCTCCTCTTTTTGCTGAGGAAGACCTGCCCTGAGCTAACATCTATTGCCAATCTCCTCCTTTTTTCCCTCTTTTTCCCCCCAAAGCCCCAGTAGATAGTTGTATGTCATAGTTGCATATCCTTCTAGTTGCTGGATGTGGGACGCGGCCTCAGCATGGTGGGACAAACGGTGCGTCGGCGCGCACCCGGGATCCGAACCCGGGCCGCCAGTAGCGGAGCGCCACACTTAACTGCTAAGCCACTGGGCCGACCCCTTACACATTTATTAATAATAGGATGTGAGCCCTGTGAAAGCAGAGATTTGGTTTTGTCTGATTCTGAACCGCAACCACTACAAGGTCAGGCACCTCATAAACACTGGCTGTGGTTGAATGATTTTTAATGAAGACCTAAATGTTTAAGGAGTGACTAGGTTATGTGATAATTTCTCCCTTTCCCTCTTCCCTCACCCAGTTATTGGATAAAAATCTAGTTAGGTGGCCCAATATCTATAATCTGGTGGCAGATAAGAAAATTGCCAATCTAGGACCTAGAGGAAAATGTTTGGTCTCTATATGCTCAATCTTGAATACGGAAACATCTAAAAAAACTACATGTGAAGATATTAGAATTTTTTGTAAACAGTAAATAATTCTTGCCTCATAAAGAACTGTCTGGCTTTACTGGTTATTCCTGAGAACTGCTTATTTCTGGGCAATTTGTCAATGGATATTAGACCTATAATATAATCTGAATTCGTCTGCTATTTTTCTGGACTAATTATAACTTCAAGGAAAAGGCTATAACTCTTAACTTCTAATTCCCCCCTTTAGATTTTAATTTTACCCTACTCTTTCAGTATGATAAATATTAAGGAACTAATGTTTGTGTTATACCAGTGTTTATGGCATATAAACGACAAAATTAAGGAAAAAAAAGACTTTAAGAAACCACTTAAAATAACTTCCTCTCTCTGCTCTTAAGGGTAAGAAGGAAAAAAAGTGCATGGCTAAGGGACATGTCAGATGATAAAGGACAAAACCTTAGTTCACCACAGTGTATAAACAGATTGACATGTCTAAGCAAGAGCAGCAGTTGCAAATCCATCCACTTCGGGAAATAGGAATGTGTTCTGGGATAGCTAGTAGAGGTGTTTTTGAGGTACTCAAAAAGGAGATACAGAAACCAAGATCATGTTAACTTCTGGAGCCTCACTGCCTATTCCTTCTCCTGGCCTGTGTCATCCCAGAGTGGTTAGCACATCCCCAAAGTCTAAGACGGAGGAGGACAGGCAAGCAGAGGGAAGGCGGGCAAGATCAGGTCTTTCTTTTTGATTCTGTTTTAATATAGGAGGAATTAAGCTAGGCAGTGATCATCTATTCTTGGTGCTCTGGGTTTGATCTAACAGATGTATGAAGAGGTCAAATTAATGGGACAAAGTGGGACCTTTCAGGGCTAATGACAAATTTCCACACAAATTCTACTCCTTCATATAGGAATCAGAGTGGCACAAGCACAGGAGTCTTCCCACGCTGGACAGACTCTGGTGTTTTCCACCTTGGGATCCCTTCTGAAGCGGGAGGAGCTTCACCCAGATACAGAAACTTCATTTCCTTGTACTGTGGGAGTGGCTCAGATTCCAACCAAAACTTACCCTATAACCTGAGATCCATCCCTCTGCCAGTTTCCACCTTTCTACAATGCGAAAACTATAATTCCTATATAATGGAAGCCTTGAAAAATTAAGAAATACCAAAATGACATTTCTTTATAGATGCTTCAAATTACAACAGAAAAAGGTCCTGAGATCCACATGGCTACATTATTTCCAGAATTTTATCTGTTCTTCACGGTCTGGCATCTTCAGTTAAGGAGGTGACAGAATTCTGACGCAGGTCACTGGCAGTTATATAAGTGAAAAAGACTGCACTGATTTTTTTCACTGTAAAAAAATTCGCTTTAAAATCTGCAGCAACCACTCCCCCAATCTTTGTTTGTGGGAAGAGTCTAGAATTCCTTTCATATAAATAATGATCAATTTCTGTGCTACCCTGTTGTCAGTGCTCTCCATTCTCAAGGCCAGGCTGGGAAATTGTCAGGTGCTCTTAAAAGAGGTGACCTGATAATTAGACTGTATCTGAAGAAAATATAAGGGGCTCATCTCTTTATAGCTAGACCCATATTTATTTCTGGCTCAAACATCCTGACCAAGGTTGCCACAAATGGCCATGCAGACTGGGCTACACATCTCTAGAGGTGTCATTCACACTGTCATCTGCTTCTGATACCAGGGGGCCAAGAAAAGCAAGTGAAGTGGCCATTAGTTTATACGACCATTTAATTTCTGCACTTTAGTGAAGAAACAAATTGACCCTACCTCCCAAAGCTTGTGAGAACCCAATTTACAGAACAAGATGACAGTCAAAATTACATTACATGTACTGAACACAGCTAATCTGTGAGGCTTCTAGGAGGAGCAACAAAAAGAAGCTACTAACTAAAGGAGTGTGTACTGAAATCTAACCCAGTTGTTTTTCCAGGGTACACACTAGGAGTTTAAAAAAAAATAAGCCTGGGTCCCAACCGATAGCCCAATTAAATTACAGTCTCTGGGGGTAGGGCCTTGGCAAGAGAATTTTATCAAGTTCCTGAAGTGATTCCACTATACAACTAGGGTTAAATAACACTGGTTTAAACTGTAGAAGAGGATCTCTGTAGTTGTGATAAATTCCTAGAATGTTAAAACATACTGGAAGAGAAAATAATAGGAAGGTTTAATACTTGTATTGAGTTAAGCCATTATATGTTACTGAATTACTAATTTGAGGGTACTTTATAATTCTTTTTATTAGGAACCAGTTACTTAAACAAATGCATTAGAATAGGAGCATAATAGATCCCCAGTCTAGTTACTGAAGCACAAATGCTTTCTATTGGCAAAACATGCATAAATATACACATTCTAGATGCAACACAGCAAAATGCTCATGGATAATAATCCTATTCAAAAATATATTGTGAATATACAAAACTGAATATAAAACTCCAAATGACCTTTGAAATCATCTACTCCAAATCCCTCATTTCACAAAGGAAACTGAAGCTTAAAACAGTTGAATTTTCCAATGTCACAAAGTTGCTCAACAACATAACTGGATTACTTCAGCCCAATGTACTTTCCATTCCATAGTGTGACAGGGAAAAGTCAAAATATTTTAACAGTTTCTCAATCCAATCTGATTCTCAGGACTTACAAAAGGACAAACTAAAGTAAATGTATCCCCTACATTATGATGTTCCTAGAATAGTCATATGCCAGGGTGCAGTCTCTGATGTTTATTGAGAGCAGAACGATATCTGAAGGCTTTTCCACAATCATTACATCCAAAAGGTTTCTCTCCTGAATGAATTCTCTGATGCTGAATAAGGTAAGTGCTCTGGCTGAAAGTCTTCCTGCACTCATTACAGTTATAAGGTTTCTCCCCAGTGTGAGTATTCTGATGTTCAGTCAGATGAGTGCTCCGGCTAAAGGCTTTGTCACATTCATTGCACTTATAGGGCTTCTCTCCGGTGTGAATTCGTTGATGCTGAGTCAGATGGGAACTCTGGCTGAAAGACTTTTCACATTTATTACACTGGTAGGGTTTTTCTTCTGTGTGAGTTTTTTGATGTTGTGCAAGAGATGAACAATGTCGAAAGGCTTTGCCACACTCAGCACACTCATAAGGCTTTGCTCCTGTGTGTATTCTCTTATGTTGCGTAAGGTGTATGTTCTGGTTGAAGGCTCTCCCACATTCATTACACTTGTAAGGTCTTTCTCCAGTATGTATTTTTCTATGCTGAATAAGGGATGAGCCATAACTGAAAGTTTTCCCACATTCGTGACACTGATAGGGTTTCTCACCAGTATGAATTCTTTCGTGTTTGGCAAGAGATGAACTCCGAATAAAGGCTTTCCCACATTCCTTACATTCATAGGCTTTCTCTTGGGTATGAGTCTTCTGATGTTGATTAAGGTTTGAGAGATAACTGAAAGCCTTTCCACATTCACTGCATTCAAAGGGTTTTTCTCTGGTGTGAATTCTCCGATGCTGAGTAAGGGATGAGCAGTAACTGAAGGCCTTTCCACATTCATTGCATTTGTACGGTTTTTCTCCAGTGTGAATTTTCAGATGTTGAGCAAGGGATGACCAGTAACTAAAGGATTTTCCACATTCAGCACAATCATAAGGTTTCTCCCCAGTATGTGTTTTCTGATGCTGAGTGAGGTTTGAGTGCTGACTAAAGGCTTTCCCACATTCATTGCATTCATATGGCTTTTCACCAGTATGAATCATATGATGACGGATAAATGTTGAGGGCCCATTGAAGGCCTTCCCACATTCATTACATTTATAGGTTTTCTCTCCAGTATGAATTTTTTGATGTTGAGTAAGGTGTGTGCTCCTGGTAAAGGTTTTATCACATTCATCACATTTAAAAGGTTTTTCTCCTGTATGAATTTTCTGATGTTCCATAAAGTGGCCTCTCTGGCTAAAGGCTTTTCCACACTCATTACAAGTATATGGTTTCTCACCAGTATGAATTCTTTGATGCTGAACAAGATGGGTCCTCTGACTAAAGGCTTTCCCACATTCATCACATTTATAGGGTTTTTCTCCAGTATGAATTCTTTGATGTTGAGTAAGAGATGGACCCTCAATGAAGCCTTTTCCACACTGATCACATTTATACGGTTTATCTCCAGTATGAATTCTTTGATGGTTTATAAGGTTTTCACTCCGGCTAAAGGCTTTTTCACATTCATTACATTTGTAGGGTTTTTCTCCAGTATGTGTTCTCTGATGGCGAATAAGAGCTGAACAATAACTAAAAGCTTTCCCACACTCATTGCACTTACAAGATTTCTCTTTTTTAACTGGGTTTGAATTCTGTTTGACACTTGTTTTAGCAGAGGTCTCTTCTGGAGATATTTCTTGTTGTGTTACAAGGTTTAAACCCACATTGATGCTTTTTTCAAAGTCATTATTTATAGGGCCTCTCTCCCAAGTGGGTATTGTCTTTTCAGTTATTTTTATTTCTCTTAGCAGTGGCTGTTGGTTTGCCTGCTGCCTCTCTACACTGCTTTCAGATTCCCAACTTTCTAAGAAGTTGGAACTGCACGGATCATCCTTTTTGCGTTCTCCCAATACTGCCTCTTGAGATGGCTGTTCCTCAGAAATGTCCAGCTTTGGGACTGATATGTTATTTTCTGGTCTTGTCTCCCACTCTGAAAGAAAAAGAAAATGCCTGTATTCTCTGAACAGAGGGGAAAAAAACCTGTTGCTGTGGGAATGACCTAATGAAACTAAAAATGAAGCCCTCAGGAAATTATGAGGATTTTCAAATATAGCCCTGTTATTTGGAAAGAAAGTTGGAAGGAGCTAACAATAATGATAAATTAAATATGAACGTGGCAAGGGAACATCTAATTCAATTTCACAGATGATCTCTAAAAACCAGTAAGGGAACTAACTCCATTTGAGGCGACAGTAAATTACAAAGTGACCACAAAGATGGCTAAGAGGAGATACAGATGGACTGAATCTAAAGGAGGCAGTCTCAACAGGGATTCTTTGCCAATGAACAACAAAACAAAAATCTAAGAACTAAGATTTCAAGACAGGACAAACAGGAAAGAACTGGCTAAGATGCCATGGTTTTTAGCGTGGAACACTGAAGAAACAGTCATATCACTGCTAGAAATGGGAAAGTTGAAAACAGTAGAGGAAATAATTTAAGGGGAGGAAGATACCAAGTTCAGCTGTAGGCATTTTTGAGAATTAGGAAGAGAAATGGAGGACTAGACTATGGGGTGTTTGTGGGCATGGAAGATGCCAAAAGTAGCAGGATAGCCAAGATGTTCAAATGTAGGATAGGAAACATCAGCTCAAAAGAGCAAGGAAAAGAATAGCTAAAGCCACAGGAACATATGTGAGAAAAGAACAGAGGTAGGGGGAAGACCCTTGAGGGTCTTTAGGGTAATGGGATGAATAAAATATACTAATGAAAGAAAGCAGTTTATTAGCAAACAACAGAAGAAACAAAAGACAGGAAAGTACATAATCAGGAAGTAGAGCTTTGCCCAAGACAAGAAAGATGACAACTAAAAGAAGCAGGGTAATCAGTGCTGGCAGATTTAGTAAAGAAAATATTTCTCTGGTTCTACCGGTAACAGGAGGGTACAGCAGATCCCAGAGAACCCTGAATCTCCTGTACTGCCAGCCCAGTCACCATCACCATCATTATCACTTCAAGCATGAGCAGTGAGGCAGAAACCCAGCACTGCCTACTAATCCCCTCCATACGTGGTACCATGGGTAATGGTGCAGCATACACAAATGCAGGCAGCCTCATCATAGCAGTACTTCTCCAGCAGGAACAAGAAGATCAATAACACAGGTTTTGAGGAACAGGCAATTGTTCAATATAAGAAATGGATATGTTTCCATTAACAGGAATGACACCAAGAAAGATACAGTTACACAGCAGATGGCCATAAGGAATACTTCCTGCAAGCTCTTCACAGCGAAAGATAAGGAGACCACGGAGTCTGATGCTATTAAAGGAGAAAAGGGTGGAAGTGGCTGATCTCCAGCCCTGGCTGGAGTCCCAGCTGAAGGCAATAAACATGCAACAGGCCATGATCAATGTTATCCACGTTGTCATGTCTTCCACACAATAACCAACAGAATTACCAGAATATCAGAGGTGGAGCAAACAAAGAAGAAATGGACAAAGTTCCAGGAGGCCAGACTGAACAGAGCCACCCCTTCTGCAGAAAGAAATTCCTACTTTACTACATGCAAAGTCTATAAGCCTTGACCACAGTATTCCAACACTCCTGTGCATGGAGAAATAATAAAGGGTGCTGACAACCAGGCTGCAAAAGAACACGGTAGACAAGTGAGACAGAATACACATCAGGGTTATTGATCACAATTCTGCAGAGGCCAGGTCACCAAGACAGCCTGGAGAAGATGGCAATAAAGAGGATGAGAAAAATGATACAGACAAGGCCCAGGGCCAGTGGCCATCTCATGGTAGGTACCATCACAACTTCTGTTACATGTACAGATGCCTATAAAACTGTAAATCTAAAGCAGCCAAGTGACCAGCTAAGAATAAGTCTGCTCCGAATGCTGAAGAGGGCAGGACCCAGGGCTAGCTTACCAAGACTACCATCACCGGGTCACATTCCAGCATAAAAAGTAAACAAAAGAAGAGAGCTAAGTACTTCAAGTGATTGTCTTCTGCCTACTGACTGGATTACTGGAACTATCTGCATTATCTATGCAACCTGGGTTTTTTATTACCTAAATAAATCTCTCTTTGGTAGTGACTAAAGCATTTTTTGAATAGCCTAGGATTTTTCAATACATATTTAAATATTTTTAAATTGTTTTCAATCTGCTCAAGTTGGGATTTTTAAAAACTTCATTTTTAATTTGTAATAAAACTTGACAACTTGTTTTTCCCAAAAGTTAACAAACTGTAAGCACAAGTTAATAAACCTCTTATTAAAAAAAAATAGTTTTCTAAATTGTGTTCCATGAAACCATCTTCTAAGAGAACTATTTTAAAGGTGTAGTATGAAAAAAAGGATTCATGGTTGTGGTGGGGTGGGGGGAGGAGAAATGTCATATCCTATGCAACCCTGTTGGAAATTCCTAATGCCCAACTACATATTAAAAAAATCTCTGAGTGTTCTTCCCATAAGAAATCTGCTAAAATTTTAGCTAATCCAGTACTTTCCAAATTTGAACATGGCTTGTTTTTTTTCTACCCATAAAAGAGGACCCCCACTCCCACTTCATTAACTCTGGAGATATCCCCTTACCTAGAGTGACTAAGTTTGTACATTTTTCCAGGGTCAGATCTTTGAAGAGGTCTCTCTGTGCAGTTTTGGAATTGATGGTTTACAGGAAAGTTACTCATAATTTCAAGGATAGTCTGTTCAAGTGATAGGATCAGAAGCTACACTCTGAGATTAAGAAAGGAATAGGTAATGAAAAAATCAAGGCTGTACCTATGAAACTCACTTTTGCAGAGCTTGGTTGGGGAAAGCAAGGAGGCCGATTGGATGGTGGCAAAAAAGATTAACAGTGTTGAGTAAAAGTATTTGAAAATTAAGGTTACCTATTTCTGTCTGAAGGTACTAGCAATAGAGCCTGGAGATCCAGAGAAAACTGTAAGGGCTGAAAAGTCAGGTGATAATTACGAGATCAGGGTCCCAAAGGAGGTGGTAAAAGATGGAATCCAGAGTCCAGGTTAAGAGGTTGCCTTTAAAAAAAGCAGGAAGGATACCTCCTCTGAAAGGAGTATAAAAATAGAATATATGTTGAGACGGTTAGTGTTTTGACAAAGCATAAGAGAGTCCAGATAGCTTCCTATTTCTCCACAGGATACACTTTAAAAAGAAGCAAGTACATCTACATTTCAGACATAAAAACCTCTTATCAGGCTGATGACACTCATGTGCCACATATCCATTACTTACCTCCAAAGGTATGTACTGGAATGCTGGGATCCATGATCCATGGCTCTGTCCCTTGCTCTAACTGGGAAATCACATCAGGTTTGGAAACTTGGAGTCCTGCTCACAGGGAAGAAAAAAAAAGGTACCTATCTGCAGTAAGGGAAAAGTGCCATATCAGAATTCAGTCTCACCACTTTGTTTTTAGAGGAAAGGGTATGTGGGACGCATCTGATGGCAATGAGTAGAATACAAAGCTTCACTGTTACAAATTCCCAGACATGGGTTCAGAAAAATTATTAGTTTGTCCCTTCCTTGCTAGGAGAGTAGAAACCTTTTCAAAACTTTTCAAAATTTAGGAATCTTTGGTTCCTTAACTTAAAAGCAAAACTCACCTATGCAAGAGAGAACCCTCCTCCCTCCACACCCCTACATATTAACTCAGAGATGTCATCCTTACCTATAGAGACCAGGTGTGTATAATTTTCTAATGTCACATCCCTGAACAAATCTCTCTGTACAGGATCCAGCTGTTTCCATTCTTCCTGGGTAAAGTCCACTGTCACATCCTTGAAGGTCACTGATTCCTGAAATACCAAACACATTTCTGCTTAGCCATAAAGCATTTACTTAAGAAAGGGGTGAAGTTAGCAATACTTATGGAAGTTAAGGCAAGCAAAGGGCTATCTGAAGAAATATTTTGTTATTTCCTCCTTTGTGAAATGAATATAAAAACAGTATCTCACTCATAAGGTTACTATAAGAATTAAATAAAAAATGTTCAATGTGAAATGTTTAATTTAGGGTCTGGCATATAACAAGTGCTTAGTCAACGTTAGCCATTGTTATTGTTGTTCATCATCATCATTACCTCTGTGTTTCAAGATATATCAAGTATGAACAGTATACCTACTAACATCAATAATATGTTTTACTACCTACAATGTGCAAGAATAGCCAAAAACATTTTTGAAAAAATTTGGAGAGAAGTCTTGCCCTATCACATTTCAAAATATACCAAAAGATATACCAAAGTATGCCAAAAGATAAAGATAAATTAAAAGAGAGTAGCTTTGTATGGAATAACACTCAATGAAACAAAATATAGAGTCCAAAAACAGACCCATGTTTATAAGAATTGAATAGGATTAAGTAACTTTCTCATTAGCTAAAATACGCTGGATTAGTCACTAACCGGTGTTATAACAAATGACTGTCTATTAGAGGAAAAAAATAAGGTGAGTTCCCTACTTCATGGCATAGACAAAATTTCTGTTGGATTAGACATTAAATTTTAAGGAAAAAGCAAAATAAAACAGAATAAAAGACAGGAAAATAGTTTTATAAGCCATGTGGAAGGCAAAAATTGTAAGATAAAGACAGAGATTGATAGACATAACCACATAAAAATGTAAAACTTTTATAATAAACCATAAACAAAAGGCAATATTCTGAGTTCCTATAAATAATTAGCAAAAAAGATGGACAACCCACAACAATAACAAGAAAAAAAGACCAACAACCCAAACAGGCAATTCACCCAAAATATTGTTAACAAACCATGAAATAATGCTCCACTCCACTAAAAACACAGTAAAATAATAAGATATCAGATTAGCTAACAACACTGCTGAAAGTGCGCATGTGTACTATGGTGGGAATCTATGTTGGAGGCAATCTGACAGGATCTACTATCAAAACTTTAAGTGTGTATATCTTTCAATCCAGTTTTATCCTTGTAGAAATTTAGTCTTCAGAAACACCTCAGCGTGCAAAGACATACGTACAACTACCCTGGCAACACTGTTTGTGTGGAGGGAAAAAAAAATGTAAACTTAAATGTTCATTAATAGGATAGTGGTTAAAGAATTTTTGGTATATTACTAAGGCACTTTATGTAGACTTTTTAAAAATGAACTATCTCCACATGTACTGACTAGGAAATATGTATACATATTAAGAACAGTATACATGGTATGATCTCACTTTTATTTTTATGAATAGGAAAGTTTATACGTAAATGCACAGAAAATAACCTGAAGGAATATACTACTAAATGTTGTCAGTGGGACTTGAAGGCAATGCAGGGGAACTTCCTACTTTTTTATTTACTATGTATCTGAAATTGGGTGAGTTAATGTTGTTTTAAAATAGATACATAAATTATTGGGATTTCTGCTTCTAACTACAACAGAGCAACTGGACTAGCTCTCCCAGTGTAAACAACTATAAAACTGAACAATATATCTGAAACAAGTGTTTGAACAGCAGGCAGGACAGATCTGTGATCTCAGAGAGAAGGGAGACAATCACATGGGCCTTCCAATCCCCTCAGCTTCCTGCCTGGAGGCACTCTCCAGACTGCAGAGCAGGGAGGCAGAGCCCTTGCAAAGCATGGTGGTCTTACTGAGCTGAGAAGACAAAGGTGGCAGCTCAGGACTACTGAGGCAGGGAATCTGCGGGATGGATACTGGAGAGGAAGAGCTCCAAAAATCTGGTAGAAATACAATCTCCACGGGCAATAGCAAGTTACCAATGACATAAATGAACCCTGAGTTAAGAAAAGACATGCACAATAAGCTCCCACGAACAGTTCTAGCACACTTTCCGAGCACAGTAAGTTTAGCAACAAGTTAAAGCAACAAGTCTGGTTTGCTCAGTCCTTGCTAATCTCCAGGGAAATTCGGATCCATGTTTCTGAACCTTGAACAAGCTCTGAAAACTAATGCTTACAAAGTCACCAACTGATGATGTTATTGTGTGTCTGGAGCACTGGGGCAGGATGCACAGATTGCGAGCACTGTTTAAAGTACACGTGAAGACATGATGGACACACGGTGTCAAGTTTGGGGGGGTCTGCACCACAGCTGGTCAATAGCAGGTATATGCTGAAATGATCAGCTCCTTTTAAGAACCCTGGACAACAAGATTCAAGCAGGCTGCCCTGGGTAGAGACATTTCACACGTCTCTGTGGATCACAGCTAGAGAGAAACTGCATCTGTGTGACCATCACAGAGGGGGGACTTGGAAGCCTGCACCTGACTTTTCTGGATTCTGCTTATGAATATCTTTTTCCTTCTGATCCTGTTTTGTATCCTTTGATGTAATAATCTTTAGCCCTGAGTTATGCTACAGAGTTGGGTGAGTCATTCTAGCAAATCACCGAACTAAAGGGTGGTCATGGGCACCCCAAAATACAGTCCTAGAGTAAGGCTATGCTAGATCAGCCCTAACAAAGCTTAGCGTTCAAAAACAAACCTCAAAAGGATCAAGCTGTGGCCAAGATGGGATTAATAAGGATTTACCCTTCTGAATGAAATAACCAAAATCCAGACAAAATATATGAAACAACAGCTTCCAAGATGCCAAATCTCAGACAACAAACAACAGTGGTCCCTGAGAATCAGGAAACATATGAAGTGAGCCATATAATTGCTCCAGCTTACTCCCTTGAGAGTTTCCAGACAGTGGTGCAGGGAGAGGGAACCCAGGAGCTGACCAGCAGACTCCCTGAACTGAACAGACAATGCCGAGAGTTTGGGGAAATCTAGGTGACTAGAGTTCACAGGACAGAGTACTGTAGAGGAGAGAGCTACATAAGGAAATAAGCAAGGAGAACTGCAGAGGTTCCCACCTGAGTATTCAACAAAGTACCAATCAGCATGTGGGTGTGATGAGACTATCGGAGGCAGAGAAAGAATCATCCAAAAGGATTCAAGGGAACAGTACCAGTGCTCAAGAAGGGCTTGAAATAGAGTCTGTTCCCATCAGTCAAACTGGAAAACTTCATAATTCATTAGGCATTGGGTAGAATACTCAGAAAGATCCTGCCTCAGTAGTGGGGAATAATGGCCTTAGACTAAATGCTGTTCTGGATTCACCTAACAAATCTCAAAAGCAAGAACTGAAAGGAACACAATATTTCAAGTAACTTAAGTGCATCCCAGAAAAGGGCTCAAGAATATTTTATAGGAATGCAAAAGTATGCAGAACCCAATAAGGTAAAATTCACAGTATCTGGCATTCAATCAAAGGTTATCAGGCATGCAAAAAAGCAGGAAAATATAACGTGTAATGAGGAAAAAAAAAACCAATCAATTGAAATCAACCCAGAACTAACAGAGATGCTAGAATTAGCAGACAAGAACATTAAAAGTTATTATGACTATATTCCATATGTTCAAAAAGTTAAGCAGAGATATGGAAGACATTAAAAAAAAGACCCAAATGGAACTTCTAGAGCTGAAAATGAGAATGTTCTGAGATGAAAAATACACTAGATAGTATTAACAGCACATTAGGCACTGAAGAAGAAAAGATTAATAAATTCAAAGACAGAAATAGAAACTATCAAAAATGAAACAGATAGGAAAAAAGAATTTTAAAAAAGAGATAGCATCAGGGAAGTATGGGACAACTTCAAGCGGCCCAATATATGTGCAATTGGAGTCCCTAGGAAAAAACGAGGAGAGAGGAACAGAAAAAATATTCCAAACAATGAAAATTATAAACCCACAGATCCAAGAAAATCAATAAAATGCAAACACAAGAAACACAAAGAAAACTACACCAAGACATATATTAATCAAACAGCTGAAACCCAGTGACAGAGAAAATCTTACAAGCATCCAAAGAAAAAAAAAAGACACAAACATAAAGGAACAAAAATAAAAACAACAGTAGCTTTTTGTTGGAAACAATGCAAGCAAGAAGACAATGGAGCAACTTCATTAAATACTAAAAAGAAGGAAAACTGTCAAACTAGAATTGAAAAACAAAGGTAAAATGAAGACTTTTCAGATATAAAAACTTGAAAGAATTCATCACCAGCACACTGCCCTATAAGAAATCTTAAGGAAGTCCTTTGTGCAGAAGAAAAATGATAATAAATGAAAATAAGGATCTACACCAAGCTTTCTCAACCTTGGTGCTACTGATACTTTGGACCAGATAATTCTTTAAAATAATTGTGGGGGGCTATCCTGTGTATTGTAGGCAGCATCGCTGGCATCAACCCACTAGATACCTGTAGCACTCCCCACCAAGTTATGACGATCCAAAATGTCTCCTAACATTTCCAAATGTTCTCTGGGGGGCAAAATCACTCCTAATTGTGAATCACTGATCTACATAAAGAATGAAGAACACCAGAAATAGTAACTACATGGGTAACTATATACAATTTTTTTCTTAGTATTTAAATCTCTTTAAAAGATAATTGACTGCTTAAACAAAAATAATAAGTACTGTCAGGTTTATAACATGTATAATTAAAATATATGGCAACAAAAGCATTAGGAACTGGGAGGGGAGAAATGAAAGTATACTACTGTAAGGTTCTCATATTATTCATGAAATGGTATATCACTTAAAGGTAAATGGTGATAAATACGTGTACCTAAAGCAACAATTAAAATAACCAAAGATTTATGGCTAAAAAGCCAATGAAGGAAATAAAATGGAATCATAAGAAATATTCAATGCAAAAAGAATAGAGGAAAAAGGGAACAAAGGCAATACAAATAGAAAACAAACAGCAAGATGACAAACTTAACCATATCAATAAGCACAGTAAGTGTAAATATACCACATTAAATGTAAATGGTCTAAACCACCCCAATTAAAAGGCATAGATTGCCAGAGTGGAATAATAAAAAGCAAAACCCAACTACATATTGCCCATAAGTAACACACTTTATTTATTTATTTATTTTTTTAATTTATTATTATTTTTTTAATAATTTTATTATTTATTTATTTCCCCCCAAAGC